GTCTAGCTTTTCATTTCCTTCCGCGTTTCCTTAGTGCTAAACAAGTAATGTTTTCATCATGATTCTTATCTAATAACTAGGTTCAAATGGTGATTGCCCAATCATGGTGATCTGAGGGTTAAAATCGAATAGTTGTCCAGTATCAAACATCAAGCGCTGATTATGCTTCTATAGAGCTCCTAGAGTTTTTAGTTCTCTAAGCACTCTTGAAACCCAAGCTAAGGGTTTGAACACTTAATGTAGAGAGTATTTTCTATTTATAAATTAGAGAGTGATATAAATATAATCAAAATTAGGAACAATATAATAGACGACTAATATTGATTACCTAAATCACATATCCCTCATTAAGCATTTATGTTTTTGAATGATTTAAAAATTAGATGAGTTTAAACTCATTCAATTCATCAGATTGAGAAACTCATTTTTTACCATAAGCATATTAAAATTGAAGATCATTTAACCCTCTAATAAATGCTATGATGTTTCTAATTCAGCTTTAAATGCTTGATTTGGGTTGATTTAGTGGCAAATCAAAATAATTTTAGTATTGATTGACTAGTTTATTTAAGTATTCAGTTTGTTTATAAATTTGCTTAAATCAGATTTTAAATGATTTTAAATTTAATTTTGCAAAATTTCAAAAAACATTAAAAAAATAAATAAAAAATAAAAATATAAAATTAAAATTAAAAATTAAAAAAATTAACAAATTTCAATTCAAACTTGTAGTGACATTCTTATCTAATAAAACCCAATTTTGATTCCACACTAATTTAAAAAAAAAATCTAATGTAAATTAAAAATTCTAGGGCAATTACGACAAAAAATGTGAAAATTTTATTTATTTTTAACTTTGATTTGGTTAAAATAAACAAAGTAAAAGGGTGAAAAAATTAATCCATGATATTCTAAATAAATTTGAAAGTAAGAAAGTTAAAACAGAGACAAGGAATTTTTTATAATGATGAGTTTAAAATTTCATGAAATTAATTTATAAATTTGAATTGAGAAATACTATATTTGTTGCATCTTGGAATATTTGCGGTGGTAGAGAAATATGAAGTTGAATGTCTTAGCATTGTACGAAGATCCAGTACACAAGCAGATTAGATAGAGTGTGTAGCATTCATAAGAGACACCAGAATTTTTATGTGGAAACCCTTGAAAAAAAGGGGATAAACCATGGGGCCTGGCCCAGTTTCAAAGAATCCACTAGTATTTGTAGCTGATTACAAATAAGGCCCTTCCTTAGGAAAAGGTCTTGGTTTGATATCACAAATGTACATCATATATAGTGCATTATATGGTGGGAGTTACATATACATGTTTGTTTTGTCGACAGGACCATAGTCGATGGGATAGAGGTCAAAAAGACCATAGTTAGCAGGAGATCGGGGTTAGGAAGATCTATATCTGGTGATAGAGGTCCAAAAGACTGTGGTAGGCGACGGAGGTCAGAAGGACCATAGTCGGTAAGAGACAAGAACCCTAAAAACAGTAGTTGCCATGAGATCGGGGTCTGAAAGATCGTTGTGTGGTGATGGAGGTTAAAATGACCATAGTAGGCGATGGAGATCGGGAGGACCATAGTCAGCAAGAGACCGGGGTCTGAAAGATCTTTATCTAGTGATGGAAATCGGAATGACTATAGTAGGCAACGGAGGTCAGAAGGACCGTAGTCGATAAGATATAGGAGTCTGAAAGACTATAGTTGGCCAAAGATCAGGGTCAAAAAGACCATGGTAGCAGGGCATTATTCTGGTAGAACTCTGGGCATCAGATGATGACCTAACAGAAGTTCGGGCCTTAGGTAGTGATACGATAAAAGTCCAATTGTCGGGTGGCGGTATGGTGAAGCACAAAGCCTCAAGCGGTGGCCCGGTGGAAGTCCGGGCCTCTAGTGGTAGTCCGGCAGAAGTCCAGGTCTCAAGTGGTGGTCTGATGGCAGTGAGAGCCTCAAGTGGTGGTTCGGTAGAACAACAATGTCAGACGATGGTCCGACTGAAGTCCGGGTCTCAAGTGGTGGTCCGACAAAAGTTTGGGCCTCAAGTGGTGGTTCGACTAAGGTGAGGGCCTCAAGTGCTGGTCCAGCAGAGGTCTGGACCTCATGTGGTGGTCCGGCAGAGCAATGATGTCACGCAGTGGTCCGACGGAGGTTTGGGCCTTAGGTGGTGGTCAAGAAAAACTCTGAGTTTCAGGTGGTGGTCTAATGGAAGTCTAGGCAACATGTGGTGTTTTGGGAGAACTCTGGGCATCAGGTGGTGATCCAACGAAAGTTCGGGCCTCAAGTGGTGGTCCGATAAAACTCTGGGTGTCAGGTGGTGGTTCGGCGAAAGTCTGGGTCTCAAGTGGTGGTCTAGTGGAGGTGAGGGCCAAAAGTTGTGGTCCGGCATAACACAAAGTCAGTCGGTGGTCCGATAGAAGTCATGGTCTCAAGAGGTGGTCCAGCAGAAGTCTGAACATCAGGTGGTGGTCTAGCGGATGTGAGGGCCTCAAGTGGTGGTTCGACAGAGGTTTGGGCCTCATGTGGTGGTTTGGTTGAGCAACGACAACAGGCGGTGGTCCGGCGGAGGTCCGAGCCTCTAGTGGTAGTCCAGTAGAACTATGAGCGTCAACTGGATGTTCGGTGGAAGTCCGGGCCTCATGTGGTGGTCCAGCAAAACTCTGGGCGTCAGGTGGTGATCTGGCGGATGTCTGGGCCTCATGTGGTGGTCCGGTAGAACTCCAAGCATTAGGTGGTGGTCCAGCGGAAGTTCGGGCCTTAGGTGATTTTCCGGCAGAACTCTAGGCGTTAGGTGGTGGTCCGGCGGAAGTCCGGGCTCAGGTTGTGGTCCGGCAGAACTCTAGGCGTCAAGTGGTGGTCTAGCAGAGGCGAGGGCCTCAAGCTGTGGTGCATTAAGGATGAGGGCCTCAGGTGGTAGTTCGACAAAGATGAGGGCCTCAGGTGGTAGTCCGGCGAGGATGAGGGCCTCAGGTAGTGGTTCGGTGAGACTCCGATGGTGGTCGAGGAGGAACTTGTTCATTCTCTTCCTTCTCTTCATCATTTTCTTCTCTTCTAGCTCCAGATCCCCTCTCAATAGAAATAAAGGGTCTATTTATAGAATTCTGGAGTGGCATGACCCTTAAATAGGTGAAAGATCAAAGGCAAATGGGGAGTGGTTGGATGGACGACCAATATTGAATCCCTTAATTGTGGATCGTTTTTCAGACATTTGATGGACTTATTGATGTCGGAATTCAGCGATCTTGGGCTCATTAGATTTTCCTCATCGAGCCGCTCGATTCAATTATAAGCACGTAATGTTTGGAAACCGTTTGACAATCCAAATTGTGGTTTGAACCTTCTAAAAGCGCTTCGGACCCTTGGTTTAAACTCATTTGGGAACGGATTGAGTCAAATTTGATATCGTTGGGTTTGTTTTTCCGGGACGTTCATTTTGACTATAAGTTTGCTAAAATCAGAGTTCGGATGGTCCCAATTTTAATTTTGGAAGTTTCCAACTTGATTTTGCATCGAGATTCGTGCTCGATCAAGATAATTTTTCTAAGACATCAATATTCATTTAAAAATTGAATTTTATGATTTATAATAATTAAATTTTAATCATGATATTTCAACCCGATTTATTATTATGAAAAATCTTCACATTAAAACTTTAATGTGCACCACAACATTATAGCTATAATCAACCAGCCAACTGACATTCTAGTTGAGAAATTTGTGCATATATGACATAAACATTGGTTCACAATTAAAAAAAAAAACAAAAAGATAAAGTTATGAAGATGTAATTCAAATATTTTCCTGCAATTTTTATGTAGATAAAATGAACTTAAATCAGCCGAAGAATTAACAATATAATTATAAGTTACATTACAGTGATCACAAACCCTCACCGCTCACCAAATAAAGTTCGTGTTTTTTCCGCAATTTTATTGATGATATTTCACAGAAAAACACAAGTGTTAAGCCTTTTCCGGATGGAAAATACTTCGTCATTTATGGTCAAGCCAACTTCCGTGCAATCAACGGGGTAGGCAAAATGTTGCCTTTTGTCGGTGAGTTTAGAAGCGTTATAAGTTACACCTGCAGCACATTTCCCCGCACAATCTTCGTCAGCTCAATGAGCGCCACGTCCACAGCATCACGGAACCCGAGCTCCCTCCAGCTAGCGTTCGGGTGGGCGTACGTCATCCGCGGAATCATCTCCACAACTCTCTCCCTCATCCGGGCCACCGACGGCTTAGGAATTCTGTCCAGCTCCTCTTCGATCCGATCCGACCGGTCAGGACCAAGGAAAACGGACCACTCCTCGGGCCGGGCCGGCGCGTACCATAGATACTGTGTGTATGCAGTGTGCTCCGAGAAGAAGACCGGAATGCAGCCGGCAAGCACTGCGTCGAACACGGATCGGCGCGAAAAGGAGTCCCCCGGTGGTTGCATGCAGAACTCGGCACGGCGCATGACGGTGAGGACGCGGTTGGGGTCGTGGCAAGTAGACGGGTCGTCTGGCCGGCACTCGACTGTGATGCAGCGCGTCGGGGAGGCGGCACATTGACGTAGAATGCTAGCGCGGGCGGCGGCCTTCTCCAGATTCGGCGGTCGTGGCCCGCCGACAAAGGCGAAGAGATGGGTGCGTGGATGAGCTAGGACGGATGCACGCCACGCGGCAACCTCGGTGGCGGTGGAAGGATGGAAATAAGAGGGGTAAGGGATAGCGTAGTGGTTGTGGGGGATCCAGGGGATGCGTTCGACGGTGAGGACGGAGATGTTTTGGGTCTCGGGGAGGAGCAAGAGGAGGTTGGCGCCGAAGTCAGGTGTGGAGGGAGGTGGGCGCATGAAGTCCCAGGATGTGCGGCCGATGACTAGGAAGTGATCGCGGCCAAGGCGGCGGGGCCAGGTGGGGAGAAAGGGGAGGAGAGATGCGAAGTCGAGAGCGAGTGAGTCGCGTAGAGTAAGGTTGGTTTGGGAGAATTGGGAAGAGCCGTAGAGGCCGGCATAGAAAGGGAGGAGGAAGAGTTGGGCGGTGGAAGGGTCTTGGGTACGGCACGGGTGGTTTTCGACGCGGGCGTGGAAGATGAGCTCGGCGATGAACTGGTGGGTGGCGTACCATGATGTGGAGGAAGGGGAGAGTGGTTGGCCGAGGCCACGGTGGGCGACATGGGGGCACATGTCGGTGTAAGGACTGAGATTGTTGCATTGGACGAGGAGGTCGGAGTTGAAGCGAGACGGAAGGGGGACGATGTACAATGGTGCGATGTCGGGGTCGCATTTTTTATCCTCTGCTGGAAACAGTGCAGCATTAGAAGGAGCTGAAGAAGAGGTGTAAAATATAAGGTGGGAGATGAGCCAAAGGAAGAAGAAGAGGAGGGTGAAGAGGAGCTGGGGTTTGGGGATTGAGAGGTGGGTGAAATGCTTCTCTTTTGGCTTACCGGCCATGGCCGGAGGAGGAAGGACGTACAGTTGGATTAAGTTGACTAGTTATGTTTAGGGTTTGGACTAAATGGAGGTTGACAATTTTGTATTGGCGAGCTGCTGGAGATGCTGATTATGAAAATTAAGGCGAGGAATGCGGCATGTGGAAATTGGAATGACCGATGACCAGCGGCGGATAATTAAATCATTGGGAATATCGGTAACTAGTAATTTTGGAAATGGAGAAGTAACTAGTAATTTTCTTTCCTTTTTGCTCGTGTCAAGTGTATCTAATTATATATCTAGTGGATGTAATAATACTATTTTGTCCTCAGGGCCCGTTTTCATTAAATGACCACTTCCCAGCAACTGTCTATTTAATATTTTTTTTTGTTTCAATTAATGGAATGTAAACGTAAGGTTTGGAGTGATCAGAACAGGGTGGTTTACTGTCTTATATGCACCGACATTTTTATTATTAAATTTAAAAATGTTAATCATACAAGTATTTAATTTAACTTTCCTTTGGGTATTTAATATAGGGCAAATTTTTTAAATGATTATTTTTATAATTTTTTTAGCAAGTTAAAAAGAGAAGATAAAGTTGCTGAGAATGGCTGCAACTGGGCTTTTGAGCTCGTGGTCCGACTCGCCTCACGTCCCCTGTTCTTGGGGTAAGCAGCTGGCAAGTGGAAAGCTCAACGAATTTGTTAGGTTCTTACGTGATGGTTGTAACTGTCGATAAAGTAGGTTGTGAAATTATTTTTTATGAGTTCTTATTGGAAGGCTGCAACTATCAATAAAGCAAGATATGAAATTATTGTACATAAAATTACGTTCTAAAGTTGCTGTAAAGAAATCATTATATTTTATTTGAAAAGTATAACTGTCAAGCTGTTGCGTTACAGTTAAAATGCAAACAAATTATCGTGATACTTTTATAAATATTGAGATGAAAAAATATTATATAAAACTAAAAAAAAAATTGATTAAAATTTGGTAAAGGTCAAATTATTGCGAATACGCCACAGAGCTTCTGGGGGATGCCCTAGCCGACAGCTTCCTCCTGCTGCTTTGCTGCTCCTCTTCTTCTCCCCTCCAGCTAAGCCGGAGGCCCTTCTTCCTTCGTAATGGATTCACTTCCTCTAGCTGGCTATTCTCTTTTATCAGCTAGCCGTGCTTCGCCCTCAAAGCCCCGTAACTGGAATGCTATATTTGCTCCGGAGGAGGCCTCTCCTTCTGATCTCAAGCTATCTCACTTCCCTTCGGAGCCAGAAATCGTTCCTTTCTCAGGTGAGAAGCTCCAATCTGGCGCTGGTGACTGGTCTCATTGTTTAGTTGGCTATTCAATCGATTGTAGGCCTTTTTATGAGGCTCTGTTAGGAGCGGTCAAAAAAACTTGGAATTTGAAAGGAGATCTGCAGAAGTTGTCATTGAGCGATGGGTTCTTCTTATTTCGATTTGCATGCGCTGAAGATTTAAATTTGGTGTGGTCCAGAGGAGTGTGGTTCCTCCTGGGCTAGCCCTTTATTCTGCAAAAATGGCACCCTAAGTTTAAACCAAAGAGGGAAAATCTCACTTCTGTACCTATATGGATAAAAATCCATGACCTTCCATTGGCCTGCTGGAATTCTGAGGGAATATCAAGGATTGCGAGCAAGGTCGGCATTCCTCTTGCTGCGGACTCGCTTACCTCAAAAAAGACCAGGCTGACTTTTGCACGCGTGTGTGTACTGGTTGACAGCAATACAATCTACCCAGAGGAAATCCTGGTATCGTTGGATGGAGATGTTGTCGCGCTCAAGGTTCAATACGAGTGGAGACCGACTCCATGTGATCACTGTAAGTCTTTAGTTCATTACTCTTCCCTCTGTCCCTCTAAACCGCACACTGAAGAGGCAGAAACTGAGAAAACGACTGATAAAAGCCCGCGTGGAAGGAGTCACAGTCGACACCATAGCAAAAAACCCGGGTCAGTTCGCCACCATAGCACCTCTAAGCCACCTACTCATCTCCCTTCACACCCTACTACCAACTCCACAGCCCAAACCATAGCCCCTAATTATCCCACCAACAGCATTGGGCAACCCCTCAATTACCAGCCTCATTCACCTACATCTCTAAACAATATCTCTCTGTCTACCCAACAGCTCTCGGTCTCTCTATCGGATAATAACACTAAAGTTTTGGAAATTGGCTCCTCTAGCATCCCAAACCTAAACTCACCAATGGAAGTGTCTTCCTCTTCCGATACTTCTACATTAGCGGCTAATGTTGAGACTGCTACCCCGGGAATTATTTCCCCAAACAAATATGAATTGCTACTTACCAATTTGGAGAATGATAAACCTCCAGAATCAACTAGTGTACAAAAGTCTTCTGCTGCTTCGATGAAGGGTAAGGAACAACAGCCTCCTTTTGTTACTGTAGTTAAAAAATCTTCTCGGGGCAAGAAGAAAGGCCCAACCAATTCCTCTTCTTAATGTCCATCCCGAACATTGCGGCGTGGAATGTCAGGGGCTTCAATAGACTTGACAAAGTTCTGTGTAGTAAACGTCTAGTTTCTTCTTTTAAACTAGATATGATTTATATTTTGGAGGCTAGAGTCTGCTCTAACTCCTTTCTTAATCCTTACTTCGAAAACAACCATGCTGTATTCTCTTATGAAGGTAGTCACCACAATTTTGATCTTTCCCCCTCTGGAAGGATTTGGATCAAATGGGATTCTTGTAAAATCAAGTTCACTCCCCAAATCACAACGGCCCAATTCATCTCTGGATTGGTTTCCTATGGTTCCAACCTCAATTTCCAGCTGACGATCATTTATGCCTCTAATAGTGCCTTGGAGAGGAAAAATCTTTGGAATTTGATTGTTTCTACTTCTTCTAATCAGGACATTCCTTGGATCCTGATTGGAGACTTCAATTGTTGCAGATATGAATCAGAAAAGAAAGGGGGCTTGCCCATCTCTCATGCTGCTGTTGCGGATCTCAATAACATGATTTTTGATTTGTGCCTTAAAGATATTCATACTGTTGGTAGTCCTTTCACTTGGTTTAACCAAAGAAGTGAAAATCTCATTCATATTAAACTAGACAGGGCACTTATTAACCATGCTTGGTCACATAATTTTCCCTCTTCTTATTGTTCTGTTCAAAGCCCTTCTTGCTCAGATCATTGCCCCTTAATCATTCACTCGGGTTCATCATTCATCACTCGTCATAGGTTCTTATTCAAGAACTATTGGACTAAATTTGAAAGGTATTGGATGCTTCTCCTTGACATTTTTTCTAATCAATTGTTTGGAAATCCTATGATATATTTCTGCAGCATATTAAAGCAATTCAAAGCTAGAATTAAGATGGAAGCCTGGGCTAATTCTTCCACTCTAGATTGTCAATTATAAGCACTTCACAAACATCAAAAATTTATTATGGACAAATTGCAAGAAACTCCCACTGATCCCACGCTTAATTCTCATTTAGTCAATGTGAATCACGACATCTCAGCTTATTCTGAACTGAAGACCTCCTGGATTATTCAAAGGGCCAAGGCTAGTTGGCTTAAACATGGGGAGGATGACCTTAAATTCTTATACACGAAGATTAAGTGTAGGCAAGGGAGCTCCAAAGCCGCTGTTAACCTATTAGCTTCTCTTAATAGGGACAGCGTGAACAACACCATTCAGAATATCATTTGCCATTTTCGAACATTATATAACCCTCTGCCTGATTCTACCTTAGAGCCTCATTTATTTCCAGTGGGGGTGGAAATTCCAGATTTTTACAAGGGCCTGTTAATGCAAAGCATTTCTGAAAGGGAATTTAGGAAATCTGTTTTCTCGGGTTCATCCACTTCCTCCCCTGGGCCGGACGGATTCAATTTCCTATTTTACAAATCTGGGTGGCATATCATAGGTCCTATGGTATGCAAGGCTGTCAATTCTTTTTTCACTAAAGGGTACTTACCTCCCTCTGTTAAAGCTACTGCAATTGCTTTGATTCCAAAACGCAAAAATGCTGAATCCATTACGGATTTCAGGCCGATTGCATTGTGTAACACAATTTACAAAATTGTTGCTAAAATTCTGACAAATCAGATCAAGCCTATCATGCCTTTGATTATTCGGCCAAATAAATCAGGATTTATCAAATCTAGAATATCTACTGACAACATTATACTTGCTAAAGAAATCATTGACTTTGTTAAAAAAGGAGGTGGCAAGTATTTTTGTGCAAAGATTGATATTCGTAAGGCCTTCGATACTGTCTCTAGAGAATTCTTAATTGATAGGATGTATCAAATAGGGTTCCCTAATACCTTCATCAGCTGGGTTAAAGCTTGTATTTATGATGTTAACTTTTCAATTCTTATTAATGGTTCGTTACAAGGCTATTTCCCTTCTACTGCGGGGCTAAGGCAGGGTTGCCCCCTTAGCCCGTACCTTTTTTGCCTTATCATGGATGCTCTTTCAACCTTATTAAATGATGGGATTTTTAAAGGTGTTGGAATGGAAAACTGCTATATTTCCCACCTTTTATATGTTGATGATGCCCTCATTTTTGGTGAAGCCACTATAGATAATTGTTGTAAGCTTAATGATATATTGTCTTCCTTTGCTAAAGCCTCTAGTCTAAACATCAATCATGATAAGTGCTCTATTATGTTTTCTAAGTCTGTGAGGAATCAGGAGATTATCTGTCAGGCTTTATCTATTAATAATATCAGCCCTCACATTTCTTACCTTGGGATTCCGCTTTCTTTTAGTAGATTGAAATTGGTGGATTTCCTCCCCTTCCCTGATAAAATTGACAAAAAACTTTCTGGTTGGAAAGCCAACCTGCTTTCTTTTGCTGGGAGGTTGCAGTTCCTGAAATTCACCAGTATCAACTCTATTGCATATTGGATTAGAGGGGCTATTATGCCTAAAATGATTTTCAAACACTTCAAAAAAGTCAGTTCCAGATTTTTATTTTTTGGGGATATTGGTGTCTCCAAAAAAATTCATATGGTGGCTTGGGATAAGGTGTGTTTACCGATTCATGGTGGCTTAGGGCTGCCTTCCTTCTCTGCTATGCAGTATGCTTTCAATTGTGCAGTCATTTTAAGAATGTATAATTCTGGCACTTTGCTCTCCACTTGGCTCACTGTAAAATACATGTCTCCTTGGAGACCTTTTCACCACAATGCTACTTCTTTTTGGAAGTCGGTTTGCCAGACTGCTCAGGTAGCCAAAATGAATTTTTCTTTTAAGATTACTCCGTCTGCCCCTAATGTTGTGCATTGGGATCATTGGTGTTATAATGGTAATATGGATAGTTTTTCGGATGGTCATTTTGTTCTCTTGCACACTAATCCGAATACTCTTATAAGGGACCTGATTAGAGATAATTGCTGGAGCTTGCCAAATGAAATTCCAGTGAATGTCAAGCTGGCTATTAAAGATATTCCTGTATACACTCATTCCAGTTCTTGCTTAATTTGGGATAATCTTAAGCATAGCAGATTTTCTGATTACATAAATGCTTTTCACTCTAACATGCCTTTTTGTCCCTGGTATAAATTAGTTTGGCATAAGAGCTATGCGCAGCGTTACTCTGCCTTTACGTGGTTGGCTCTTGTCGGTGGGCTTAAAACTTCTGATGCTCTGCTGATTCGCAATATTCAAATTCAAAATGTCTGCTCCCTCTGTCATGTATTTCCTAAGAGTTCGTCTCATTTGTTTTTTGAATGCTCTTACTCTTATGATATACTGATTAGCATTATGCCAACTGCTAGGCAGCTGCTCCTCAGACCTAGTATTCTGCAGCTTCTGGAATGGATCATGAATGATCCTGACACTACTCAGCATACCAAAAAGGTTTATTCTATCTTCTCTTGCTGTAGCATTTACTATATCTGGAAAGAGAGAAATTCGAGAAGATTTGCAAACATTTTTAACAGCACTTCCACTACTACTCTTTGCATCAAAAAAGCTGTAAATCTTAGATATATATGTGGAATGATAGATCTCAGTCCCATACATAGTTGCTGTCTTTGCTGGGCGTCCTTTCTTTTCTCCTGTAGGTTTATGCTCTTGCTCAAATACGGTTCTATTGCTTTTGCTGGAGGTTGCTCTGAGGTTGGGGCTATACCTTGTGCTTGCCGTGCCGATTTTTCTACACCTGGTCAATGATGAAGCTCCTAAGCAGGCCCCCTTAGGATGGTCTTCGGGCAACCAAGGGGTTTTTCGATTGATTTTCTCTTATTCTGAGCCCAGGTGTTTCGATTCTATGGAGCTTTTTCTATTATGTAGTTATTTTGCTTCTCACTTATGCTTGATCTGATTCGGGCTTCTTTTTGTGCTCGAATAAGCAGTCCCTCTTTTTTTGTTGGGACCTTTTGTAATCCTCGGTTGTAACTAAACCCTCTATTTTGTGGTTTAATATACGGGCAAAGCCCAAATTTTCCCCCAAAAAAAAAAAAAACTAAAAAAAACTAAAAAAATTTAAATGTACATAATAACAAACTAATAATTCTAAATTAAAAATTTATCCACTTTAACAAGAATTTTATGACTTTTAAATATCAAACCACTTACTATTTTTTTGATAATGTAATATCATGCTTTAAGACTATCTATCTGGAAAAATATTATAATTGATACGTCATCAAAAAATTATCTTGATAGGGCACGAATCTCGATGCAAAATCAAGTTGGAAACTTCTGAAATTAAAATTGGGACAATCTGAACTCTGATTATAGCAAACTTATAGTCAAACTGAGCGTCTCGAAAATACGAACCCAACGACACAAAATTTGACTCAATCCGAGCCTAAATGAGTCCAAATCAAGGACCCAAAGCGTTGTTGAAAGGTTTGAACCATAATTTGTGTTATCAAATGGTTTCCAAACATGGCGTGATTATAATAGAATCGAGCGGCTCGAAGAGACAAATCCAACGATCCCAAGACTGTTGAATTCTAACATCATTAAGACCTTCAAATGTCTGATGAATGGTACATGACCAAGGGATTCAATATCGGTCGTCCATCCAACCACTCCCCATTTACCCTTGATCTCTCACCTATTTACAGGTCATGCCACTCCATAAATCTATAAATAGACCCCTCATTTCTCTCGAGAGGGGGACCGAAGCAAGAAGAGAAGAAAGAAGAAGAGAAGTAAGATAAGGAAGAAGCACCTCCTCGACCACCGCTGAACTACTGTCGGACTACAGCCAGACCACCACTTGAGGCCCTCACCTCCGTCGGACTACCGCCAGACCACCGCCTAACGTCGTTGCTCCACCGGGCCACCACTTGAGGCCCTCACCTCTGCTAGTCCACCGCTTGACGTCATTTCTCCACCGGACCACCACTTAGGGCCCTTATCTCTGCCAGACCACCGCATGACATCGTTGCTTCGTTGGACCATCACCACTTAAAGCTCTGAGGTTCGTCGGGCCACCACTTTAGGTCCTCACCTCTGCCAGACAACTACTTGAGGCCTGAGCTCTACCGGACCACCACTTGAGGCCCGGACTTCTACCGGACCACCACTCGAGGCCCAGACTTCTACTTGGCCACCATATGATGCCAGAGTTCTACCAGAGTACTGCCCTACTACAACGCTCTTTCAGACCCTGGTCTCCTGCTAACTATGGTCTTTCAGACTCTTATTTCCTGCCGACTATGATCATTCCGACCTCCATCACCAGACAACGGTCTTTTCAGACCCCTGTCTCCTGCCGACTACGGTCCTTCCAACCTCCGACATCTACTACGGTCATTCTGACCTCCATCACCAGACAACGGTCTTTCTGACCCAAGTTTCCTGCCAACTACGGTCTTTCTGACCTCTATCTTATCAATTATGGTTGTGCTGATGAAATAATCTTGTCTATATTGTTCCCATTATGTAATGCGTACTATATGATGTACATTTGTACCATCAAGCCAAGGCCTTCTCCCAAGAAAGGGTCTCATTTGTAATCGACTGCAAATATTAGTGGATTCATTCAAACTAGGTCAGACACCGTGGTTTTTCCCCCTTTTAAAAGGTTTCCATGTAAAAACTCGGGAGTCTCTTTTACAGAGTCAAATAATAACCTGATAATCAGGAGAAATAATAAAAAATAATAATATGGAAAGTAAATACAACTATACAACCATATAAAACAAACTCAACTGCTATTGGACTCGTTTACAGAGTATGAATTCTGCTCCAGCACTATGCTGCTTAAATAAAACTAACTTTGTTCATGAATAAAACTGTATTGAATGCAGACTGGAGAATACCTTGTAAGAATATATTATGCAAACACATGTTTCTCAACTAACGGATCTACTACATACTCCTCAATTGGCATCCAGTAGATAAGTAAAACAATTTATTAGAATTATCTTCGCAGACTGATTGAGGAAGATGAGAAAAACTAGACATGAATTAGAATTATATATAATACATGCCCTTGACAATAACTTTGTAAATAAAAATATGCTGAGAATTGAACAAAATTACAGCTCAAAATTTGTTAAGAATCCCCAACATTCGCAACAAATAGAAGCTTATATTCGACATATTTCATCAATATGTTAGAAACTGATAAACAACACAAAAAGGTTAAGTAGAGTTTCTACAACATTCTCACCTTCTAAAGATCAAAGCAGCGAGTGCAGTTGTTTTGGAGGAAGCACTAACAATGTGGTCATCAGCTAGAGGAAGATCAGCATGAAGGAATGTTGTTCGTATTAAGTTCTCCACTGATTCTAGGAAGACATTATTGCCTTCTGATGCTTGTGGAACTCAACATGTTCAAGAATAACTTGACTGCATGCTTTTCGATGTAGGCTATTGTAGTTAGGCCTCCATGACCATAAAAAATCTAAACTTAACAAGAATATTCAATCAGCAAAGTAACAAAATCATATCAGCTACAACAAGCAAACTTGTTAATAGTGAAATGATAGATTAATTACCACATAGAATGCACGTGGTGAAGGATAAGTAACTATATAACATAGATAAGTAGACAAATCATCTATGTGTATATGGTCGTGTTCCATGCATCTCCTAAGTCCAATATCAACAAAATGATGCAGAGCTTATTAACTAACTCTGACACCCACTGCCTTAGTTGTTGTTTCTGTTTTATTACTGCATTATAGCTCTTTATTTTGGCAATTTCAATTATAGAAAAACTCAATTATCAGCTGGAGATATATATAAGGAGAAATATGTACACAAAAAACACTTTGCTTTTGAAATATAGAAAACCCTGAGGTTTACTCATTACAAAAAATTCCACTGTCTATTTTATTTTTCTGTGATCTTGCAAGTGTGGTGGTGGTATACATCAAGTTATTATGAGAGCCAACACCTGGGGAGAAGATGACGGATCGTGGCAAAGAACCAATCACCAAAGAATTGCAAAGTCTTCAGGCACATTGGCAAACCAGAACAATGTCAATCTCCAACTGGATGAGCTAGCGGACAACATACAAAGGTTTTGACACCGGACCGGAGAGGGCACGATGAATCCACGTCGATGATCAGGTGGAGATCGCCGGATAACTCCAAGAACTTCTCGGAGGAAAGGGATCACCACCTGAAATCCTTCAGGATACAGAAACCCAAAATAAGAGTAAAACTACTCAATTCTTATTCATCTCAAAATCTCCTTTGTGAATATTCAAGGATTGCTGCAAAACAAGCAGAGTTCCCTCATCTCCCGGTAAATAAACATGTTCCAATCCTGGGGCGTCATTTCTTTGGTTGAGGGGTGCATCTTCTAGTTCTGGTTCTTCAAGAAGTGATTAGAGCCGACAAGTTGCTGGTGTTTTGCATGACAAAAGGAATTTAAGTCATTCTGAACAAAATAAAGTTCTTGTTCTTAGAAAGCCAGGTGGTGACAAAGTGGATTATGGAGTTGCAACGTCGTAGCTCGGCGGTAGATGGAACAAATAGATCGCATGGTTGAGCTGCTGGTCTGAGACAGATTGGATCATCCATGAGCTGTAGTCCTTGGCGGAGTGCATTTGGGGTCCGAACGGGAACTATCAGAGACTCAAACATTTCAGCCTGTTCGGAGCGGCTATTAGCCACCTTCACAAACCCGCAAGAATAGAGTGGGATTGTTCAGCCGCTGTCCATCTTCTTCCAGTGTCATTTGTTGGTAAAAAGAGCATTGTTTGAAGTGAGATGCAGATTCTGGTTGTCAGCTTCTCTTGAAGGTTGTAGTTCCACTTCTACCATCCAGGAATTTGCTTCTTCTAACAAGAATATTGTTTTCTTGAAGATTTTTATTTTCTGTGCCGTAGAAATTCACTCCAAATAGTTATTGTTTCCTATAAAAGATGTCACCTCATCGAAATCATCAAAGACCATGTCAAGAAGAAGAAGAGATTGAAGATCTTCTACAAGAAATGGCACGACTCAAACTACGACTGTCAAGGATTGAACGAAAGAAAAACTTGAGCTCCCTTGGCCAGGACTTTAATGGTATCTTGAACGATCAAGGACCATCTTCCTATGAAGACATTTTTGATGGGTTACCCCGCAAGTCTTCCTCATCCTCAAGCGAGTCCATCTTCGATAGGTTTGAAGATTCGTTGCCAAAATTGTCGTCTTTGCCTCTCTATAATAAACCTGTGTATGACGTGTACAATGATGACATGTTCTTTGAAGTTCTTGATTTTAATAAGCCTGTGTATGATGATGAACCGAGCAAGATGGTTGCACCGATGGAGTTATGCATGCATATTGTTCCTGTAAAGGAAATCAATGTGCTCGTCATCACTGATAAACAAAATGCTCTTCAAAATACATCTGATGTCAGCACAAATTTCATGGTTGTTTTAATCAAGCATTCATGTGAAGAGTTGATTAATAGGATGATCAACCATCTTTCTCAAGAGTTTGATACATTCAGGAAAAAAAGATGGAATATATTACTTTTCAATCAATATCTGGGTGTAGTTAACGAAGCAAAGGAAAATATATTGTTCTGTGATGTGTGTTGGTAAATGGAGACAATAGTGAACGGTATTTTACTTTGTCCAAGATGCAAAATTGACACCGGATGGAAATATCAAGATCTGTTTAGCCAACCAAACCCGCCTCCTTATCGTAGCCAACCGGACCTCTTTCTATGGAACTTTAATTTGGTCCAGTGAATGTACGCTCCTCTACGT